TAATCACTAGCCTAGCCTGGAGACAGCCATCGCCATAATCCACTCTCTTCCACAGAGCCTTACGAATTTTTAGTAAAATTACGTAATATTACTGGGGAACCAAATTACGTAATTGTTAGTGAAAACGCGCTAGGTATGATGGGAAGATGGAAGTCAAACATTGGTCTCACGTCGTGCACCACTGAATCAAATGTCCTATATTATTTCCACAATTGTACATAATTGACTCTATGGAGAAGAGTGGCCATAATCGTTTGTAATAATTAGTTAGTTAATTTTTAGCAGTGTTGAAGGAGGGAAAGTGTAGTACACTACTACACAGAGATATTTTCCTTTAGATCCGACTTAAGCAGATTTATGTTATATTATAGGTATCAGACTAATTTGTATTAATAATAATAATTAAAAAACTCAATAATTCATGAAGAAAACACAAAGAAAAATCATAAGCATGTCGTATCTGTATATGTGATACAGATTCATGTTGATTTACATAAACTTTAACTTTGATTTTCTCGGCTTAGACAACGTTTATTTTTAGGGTTACTTGCCAATGCACTCATAAGATGAGTCGTTTTTTAAGTTGTTTACAACATTCGCATCTGTGTTGTATCGGATATACAAAATCTCGCCTTCGGCTCGAGTTTGTATATCCGATACGTGTTGGCCGCTCATGTTGTAAACATTACTTACATCGCAAAAGAATGTATTAGTTCCCATGGCCATATACAAATGTGTCAAATGCTAACCATCAATAGCAATTTATGACAGGACTAACGAATATTGTACCAGCGAATATATGGGTTTTGTTTGCTTGCATTTCATACCTGCTCGAGCTAATAGAAGCTGTATATACCTGCTCCAGCTAATAGAAGCTAATATCTTGACGCGTAACCTATTTTTATCTTGATGTAATCTGACCTTTTCCGAGACAGTGGTGACCTTGATCATGGGGTCGCGCAGACGTCTTTGTTGTTGTTGTTGTTGTTGTTGTTGTTGTTGTTGTTGTTGTTGTTGTTGTGAATTCAAATCATCGCTGTCCTGGAAATTTTGAAGAGATAATCTCGGCTGGTGAATTTTGTTTTAGCCCTACAAACGTCGGGATGTGTTTATTCAAGTTATTCAGACCGTTTCTTGTCATGAACGATGATACAAAGTCAAAAGAGTACTTCACCATGTTATTTAAGCTTAGCGAGCGGTCTTGACTTCATGTCATTAATCCCTGGCAGACACGAGCAAAGATACTAATAAACTGGACAGAATGTTAATGAGTGTGTTCCTCTTACTTCTAAGCTGGACAATAACTTTGCATGAAGCACTTTTGCAGGCAAAAAATATTTTTCTTACGTTGGTTGTGAATTGACAGTTTCGCATTGCAGTAATTTATTCGACATTTGGAGCTTGTTTAGTGTATATTTGTTTCGCTTCATAAAAAGCAAAATATTGAACGGCCCCAAAATATTTTAACATGTATTTGAAGAGGAGGAATCGAACTAATGCTGGATTATAATTTGGTTACCGCTAGAGACATATCAGTGGTGATTTTAGCCTTCAAACAGAGACATATCAGTGGTGATTTTAGCCATCAACAAAAAATCTCTCCAAAAAGCATAACATTGAAAAATCTGTAAAATATTCTATATTAAATGTAAGTCAAATATCAACCCCTTGAAATGTGAAGTAGTTACTCACATTATTGAGAAACTTTCAATTATTTGATTATATTAAGTTTCAGGATTTTTAAACGAGCTTTCAAACGACTGTGGTCAAATCATGGTAAAGTCTCCTTCAGAGCCTTGAACTCTATTATTGTAGCCATGTGCCTAAAATATAAATCCATTTCACCTTAGACTGTTTTTCTTTACCTACTACCCAAAGACCTTTATTTTGACACAGTTTGTGAGATTTTGATATTTCACGTTTTACACACCTAAGGCAATATTTACTGACGACCGCTCTTAAACTCTGCCATATGCATCATACATCTTCCAGAACTGGTCGATAAGAGAATTAGAAAAATATAGGATTATTTGATTAATTTAACGAACTATAGGTAAGCATATAGTTGAGTAAAATGGAGTGGCATGCATGTATGATATAGTATCACATTATAATGGTTTTCAAACCATACTCGAAGACCATGGCCGTGCAAGACACGCTCCGTTTCAATTCTGAATTTACACACAGCACTTTTTCCAACTATTTTCTTATGCGGTTACCGTGGTATAGTTACTTGATTCACAGCTGGTCTGATACTGTTTCAGTGTCAAAAAATATTACAGCCAGCTACATTTTGTTTTTAACTCTGATACATGTACTTATCTGCTGGAGAAGACATCCAAGTTCGTAACCTGCAGCCTTTTAACTGCTTCTTTGAATTATAAACAAAATGGCCTATTTTATAAAAGATGTGTATGGGAATCAGCTACAACATAAAGCATGCACAGTTGATTTAATCACCATTTTTTTTCTATATAAACCATGCATTAGAGCTAGTGTGCTATAATAACTGATAAGCATGTGTTAAGTACAACAACTATCATAAGAGGGAACTCGTTAATTATCACAAAGAATTTCAAAGATTAAGGAATTATTCCAATACCTTAATTTTCTTTTCAACTATAGTCACATTCAGCCGTGCTGTCTGGTGGACATCACTTGGTTAACTCAGGTTAACATGTTGATTTTTGCTTAACCCACCTCTTCGCCATGTTTGCACCCATATGGTCATGTCAATTTCTAATTTCATATGTAATTTTGCCCTCGCTTTACTGGGAAAACAGTTTTAGAACATTTTATTATAACACAAACACACACACATAGTGTGAATTGTATTTTGAAAGACAATAATAAATCCGCACTGGTGGAATCATTACCCCTGCATGATTTTGCGCAATTGTAAACAGCTCAGGAAATTGCATCGCTCAAGCCATTATGCCCAAAACGGTATAATATTTACAAATATTTGTCCTGAACCAGGCCTTTGCTCGAAACTTTCAATTCTCATACTATTTAATTTACACACTATAAATTTCAAGGACTTGAATCCACTCCAACTTGTCATCGTTTTTGGTGAGAGAATAACACTGACTTTTGGAATTGATACAACTCCTTGCATTTTACAGTGCAGGCATGAAGTTAACTCGACTTATCCTCTGCCTGCAATGGACCACACATTTGTTTTGTATAAACTACAGGAACTGCAAATTCAGTAGAACTGGCTTTACCAGTGTAGGTAATGCCAGTATCAAATTACTGAAGCTTTCGTTTGTAGCAATGCAACTACCTGAAAAATATTAGGAAATTTCTACGTTTCGACCAAAGGCCCTTCATCTAGAGCAGGTAGCCATGAGGGCATTCACTTCAAACTTCGAAATTCTCCTTATCTTTCACTTTAGTTTCAGGAAGTTGCATGCCTATCAACGAAAGGTTGCCACAACTATAATTAAATCATGCAATGCAAGGGAAATTTTTTCAATTAACCCTTTCATAGTTTCATATCAACTATAGAGGCCGAGTCCATGTAGTTGCCGATGCTGTGTTTAATGATAACATTGCATTGTGCAATCCGTTCAATTACTGTCTCTTCTGTATGTGCAAGTGACTAAAGTTTTATGATCTAAAATATTAAGAGGTCAAATCATTAAGTATCTCAATAAATCGTCATAAGGATCTTGTGGGATGTTTGTAAGGTTAAGTCTTTTTTGTAGAACTTGTTTGCTCTACCTTTGCTGTTAATTGATTCCTTTCTAAACTTCCTCTTCATCTTCTTTCCATTTCAAAACGAAGCACAGGAATAACAACACTATAAAATTGATAATGAGAAATGTCAACTTTTTTCAAATTACTCCTCAATCAGTTCTTTGTATGTTTGCATGGCAATAAAACATAATAGTTTTGTTTGTGGAAACAACACATAAATTTATTACCACAATAATAATAATAATGGAAACTTTATTTAATAATTTTCGGTTATATACTATACATATACAATTGTAAATCTCACTAATTAAGGTAACTTACAATTGGCTATTTGAATCACAACTATGAACTAATAAAAATGACAAAACTGAATACATGAAAATATATAATTATAATATAGTCATTCACCATATACGAGCTGTTCTGCAATCTGATTGGTTCAATTACTCGCCATATATCAGCTCATATACGGCGAGTACCGAAAAACAAGATGGCGGTCCAAAAACTACATGAGTTTTGCGAAGCAGGAAAATATTCGCTTTGAGAAAGATAATAGTACAAGGAAAAACTCTCATAAAAATTTGACAGGTTAGCAAAATACATTTATTACAGTTTAAATACACGTTTTTACAGAATTAATACCGAAACAACAGCGAAAAAAAATGTTCATTGTCCATTGAGAATATAAATTGTTCAGAAAAGTTTGCAATGAAAGACAAATGAATTTGCAGTCAACAAACACTTACTATACTACCAAACATCTGTATAATATATCTGAGCTTTTCTGTGAGCTCAGATATATTATACAGACGTTTATACCATTTCTTTCACTTTGTCTTCGAATTGTAAAACAAAAGTATTTCAAATTTTCAAGGCCAAGCGGTTTTTGGCCGAACAAATTGTCATTTGTCAAGATATTGTAACAGAGGATAATTAATTATTACTTCAGTTAATGGGTATTAGACTATATTATAAAACAATTATTCCATTTGCTCTCCTCATATATGGCTCATGGTATAATTGTTAAATATACAAGACAATCAAATATATCAAATAGTTAACAAGTCCAGACTTTCCCATCCCTTATTTCGACAGCAAAAAATGTAATAAGTACTTTGAATGGCAATAGTCATCATTTTCCTAACACAACACACATCCGGTAGTTTTTGTCGAGACCAACATTTCCTAACATTTCTAAGAATGTAAAGCATTCTTGCGCAAAAATACCTAGGGAGCTCATGGAAAGATTAACAAAGTTTACTTCGTTAAAATTTTCACCTAACTGGTTTACTAGTTCTCTATATTTGGCTTTTTTTTCGTTTAACGTTGTTCTCGAGGTTTGTCTCATAGCCAACAGTGAACTCGACCACATAAAGAGAGCCATTTGATAATGATAGCAACAAATCCGGGCGATACGCATCACCAGTTACTATTGACGGACTTTTGAATCCAGGCACATCAGCGTAGAGGGCAGAACCGTTCACAGTTTGCAAGGTATCGGCAAGAAAGTTCAGGATTGAATTGTGCCTCCACGTAAATCGATCAAGATAACACTGACATCCAGCGACCATGTGCAGTAATGATTCTGGGCCGAGACATAAGGAGCATTCTGAACTTGAAGACAATCCCCATCTGCTAAGGTTCTTACATGTCGGAAGATAGTTATTGATATAGCATTTTGAGTTTATCTTCATGTTCAGAGCGAAAACTTTTAAGCACTTCTTCAGTTGAGTTATAAAAGTCATATTGGACATTAGTACGAGTATTAGTGGATTTCCACAGTTCGTTAATCGATTGATTAGGAGAAAGTTTTAAAGCTTTTCGAAGAACTGTTTGGCATTGGATAAATTTCTCCGATGGAGTATAAATACTTTGACCAAATTTGTTACGGGTTAGAAAAACAGTACTTAGTGTTCCAGAGATTGGAATTTCAAGCCATTTACGGATGTATTGGTTGACTGCGGGATCAATATTTTCAATAACCCATGTTTTAGAAAGTGTTGCGGTGGTGAAATGCCAGGATAATTTGGATAAGACATAACGACTGTACACGAGAAGCTTATTTCTTGGGTGTAGTGGCTTTGAGTCAATATCAGTCATTAGTTTGTTAACGAGAGTGGTTAGTTCAGTCTTATGGTTGTTATTCGACATGTTAAAATCAAAGTTACGTCCTAAATATTGAAATGCTTCTCCAATCTTTATTGTTGGTATCAGATTATTGTCGATTTGGAGTTTGGGCAAATATTGGACTGATTTTGTGATGGCTTTCTTGATGCCAAAGGTACTACATTTATCGACTCTGATAATCATATTGGACCATTGGCACCAGATGGAAAAACGATTTAAGAGATGCTGGTTTTCAGATTCTTGGCCAGTGATTACGGCTGCGTCATCAGCGAACTGGAACAAGTGGACAGGATTTAGTAGCTTGAAGGAGAAGCCAACCTGATGGTATTTTTCAGCTTTGATATGTTGGATGAAAGTATTGAAGCACATATTGAAAAGAAGAGGACTGAGGCAATCTCCTTGCAATACGCCACAGCCAACAGATATAAAAGGGGTGCGGAATTCGGAGGTAATTATTGAGGTTTGGAAATCAGTGTATAAACTTTTTATATTTTATGTGTTCTGGGATGTGCTGGTAGTCGAGTACTGATTGGATGAGATTATGATGGACTTCGCCGAAAGCATTCTTCAGATCAAGTAGGGTGATGACAACAGAGCGTTGTCTGATGCGGGCTTTGTTAATGATGTCAGCCATTTGCACTGTGTGTTCTAGAGTGCCAGATAGGTTAGGGGTGAAGCCCTTTTGTATGCCGTGTTCGATAAAGTTATTGGATGCGAGGAAGGAATATATTGCGTTTCGAAGACAGGATGTAAATACTTTTAATGGTATGGACTCAAGTGTTATGGGACGGAAATTTGACGGATCATCAGTGTTGCCTTTCTTGTGTATTAATATAGTACAGGCTTTTTTCCATTCATTCGGGACAGTTCCAGATAGCCAAATTTCTTGAATTAGTTCTCTGAGGTAAGTTCTCAGATAAGGACATCGCTTAAAACAAATTATCGAAAGCTGATCAAGGGGGCAAGGAGAGCCAGACGATTTCATTTTACGTATGACATTAGTAATTTGTTGCTAAGTCAGGGGGTCAAGGTTGAATTGAACTTTGGGATCAGATAACTTTGGAATCCAGCTGGGAATGTTAAACAGTCTATTAGGATTAATTTTAGCCAGGGATTTAGAAAAATAAGTAAAGCAATCTGTCATGTTAAATGATGGTAATATTGAGTCCTTCCTTATTGATAACGTTTTTAATATAACCCCAAAAGTTCTGTCCGATATAATTGTCGTGATTGAATGACTCATTGCTGTCAGGTTAGCCCATCATTGTTGTTATTACGAAGCTTATCACGCACTGTGCGGGAGACGTATTTAATTTCACTAAGGTCACCCTTTTGTTGGATTTTAAATTTTGCAAAGCTTTCTTTAACTCCTTTACAGTACAATCTTTATATTTAGCAACCATAATTTTGTCAGGTACCATTTCGTTATGTCCAAAGTTATCTGCAAAATAGTTATATATAACGTCGTTTAAAAGCTTGATTTTTGAGTTTACGTCTTGCATTGTGATTGGAGATCATTAAACTGGAGCGCACATTTAAAATAATCATTAGCTGTTTGCCATCCAGAGTCATTTTTAGGTAAATTTATGCCTTGTTTCAGTTCGGGAAAACTTTCGTCATTAGTCATATCAATGTTGTTAATAGAACTGTCATTTTCAGGGGTATCTGCAGTGTCACGTTGGGCAAACGTCGATCGAAAATACGCCACGAAAATTATCAGTTATTTGCAACATCCGGACAGCGGTATTTCATAAGGAGACTGAGGCCGAATATTTTCATCCGGGGCCTGGAGTTCTGCAAGCAATTTTTCCCACCCTGTATGCAATTCGGGCTTGAAAATAATACGAGTCAACTCTTCAAGAAACAAGCTATATTTTGGTACCAAATATGTCTATGTTTGTCGCATGATAAAAGCGATCGAAAGCATTTTAAACACCGAACATGAGCTGTTTGTTAGACGTTGAGAAAACATGAAATTTGCCTGTTGTTCATCTTCAAAAGGATATTTTACTGCTACTGTTCTACTACAGGTTTGCAGCATTTTTTATGGTGTCAACATCAGGTAAGAATACTATGTTTTTACATCTGAAGAAACGAAGGTCAATTTGCAGTAAATTGAGATTTTCTACTACCACGGACAACGTTTAATCTATTACAACCGTTTCTAGAATGCCTTTATCAAAGCAGAAAACGTATGCCAGATTTAATGTTGGTAAATATATCAAGCAAGCAAAAACCGTAAGAGACAACTTATCAGAGTGCAATGAGAATATTCGGAAAGAAAAATTAAAGTACGAAGTTGGTAAAGCTAAACTGAAAAGACTTCAGTTAAAGGTAAATGATTTAGAAAGTTTGGATACCATGCATATTTTTTTAAATGTGTATTGCCTATATGGCTTTTTACTTTGAACACATGAACTGTTTTCTCCAAGATATATAGCAGCAGAACTGGTTAATAATTATTAACAATTAGGGCATGTTGTATGGAGCAAGCCAGCATGTGTACACGAGCTAGCTTGCTTGCTGAGATCTAATGTCGATATGTAAGGCAAAAAAAAAATGTGGGTTTCCGGTTTCTTCTTATAAAAACTTAGGTAGGGTAGGTCGGTTAACTTTTTTTAAAACTTTTTTTTTAAATTTTCCTAACAACCGGACGCCATTTTGTTTAGTCAGTGCTTCCACATCCAAAGATAAATTTTCCTAATATTGCCTCAAATTTCAATTTTCCACAAACTTTTTCCTGTAAGTAGAAACACTTACAGGCATGATCCAATAAAAAAGTTTAGGGTCGGGATTTCGACGTCCAAAAGCTAGGTAGGGTCGGGAAACCGGAAACCCACATATTTTTTTTTTGGCCTAATTCATAGTAATATTTATCTTGCATTTAGAGCTAGCCCACCTAGGGAGATCTCACTTTGCGCTCTTGTTCTAAATAAGATTTTCTCAACAGCTTTCAATCTTTAAATGTCTTTGTGAATGATTATGTGGGCTATAATCGTGAAAGTTGTTTGTGAAAGTGAGAAAATATACACTATTTATAGCGGTGAGCAAGTTGTTTGTTTTGGCTAGCCAGCCTGCCTGATGTAAACACAAAATGAAATCAGCCCAGCAACGCGAGCTAGCTTGGGTACCCAGGCTGGCTCACCTCGGCATATAAACACCCCCTTAGTAAACTTTCAAATGATAAAATCCTTTTTTATGGCCAGGTGAAAACATTTATTTTATCAATTTCAAATATTTTCTATGTAGATAAATGAGACAAATGCAAATGTAGCCACCCTTCAACAAGGTCTTGGGGATGAAAACACAGAAATTTCTTGCAAAGACCAGTTCCTTTCATCCATTTCTGTGTCGAGAAGAAGAAAGCAACCGAGTAATGAAAACATGACAATCCGGACCAAAGTAAGGAGAACTAAAGAAACCTATAATGCTGCCTTGGAAATCCATGGAGGTACAGAGGAAAATTCAAGGCCAGCAGCATATGGACTTGTGTAAACTCTTCTCAGTGAGTTCTCGAATGGTATTGCTGCTTCAACTATATGTAAGAAGCCTAAGTTAGCTAAGAACATTGCTGCGAAAGTTCACAAGGATGCTTGTATCACATACGAGAACAGTACAGACAATATGCTCAGAAGTGTTGCAGTCTATTATACTATGGGTGTAATGGGCAAACGAAAGTATATAAGAGTACGTAAAGCTCTTTCATTTAAAAATGCATCTGCATCTAAAGTCACTAAATTGAAAATAGCAAAGTGTTCTGTTGCTTCCTTAGTGCCATATTATAAGCTTGTGAAATACCTAAATGGTTTAGACATAGGCAATTTGTATTCTGTTGAGGAAGAGTTGTGCCAAAATTTCAATGACACTGACAACATAAGTGGTTTATTCCGTGATATTAAGGAGTTTCTCCCAAAGTTGGCAGAATTTTATCTTAAAATGTATAAGTCTGAAGACTTTAACTGGTTTGGCCAGCCATATACTTTTAAGGTGGCTATTGGGGGTGATGGAGCACCTTCTGGCAAGCATGACCAATCATGTGCATGGCTGATTAGCTTTCTAAATATTGGTAAGCGCTTTCTAAGTAGTGAAGATAACTTTTTAATCTTCAGAGCCAACTGTCCTGAAACCTGTGATGCAGTTAAGACATATATTTGCAAGCTTGTTACTGATATTCAGTACATGGAGACAAATGTTTTCAAAGTAAATTATATCAATGTAAAATTCACATTTTCGGAACTTCCAACGATATGAAAATGTTATGCTTTTTAGCGGGTGAGCGGAGTAATAGCGCAACATACTTTTCAACATTTGGAACTGTTTCTGTTGCTGACATGGCTAACCTAAATTTCAGTTTTGGTCAAGCAAAAAATTGTGAATGGAATCCATGGAATTATGACAAGCATTTGTTGGTAGTTAAGCATGTTGAGGCATTGAAGAAAAAACTAGAGAAGGCAAAGGGTTCAGAAAAAACTAAGAGAGCTAAGATAACATCTTTAATTGCACAAATGCAGTCCAGGCAAGAGTTTGTACCTAGGATAGGTAGGTTTATTGACAGGGCGCATGTCGAACTGCTGCATTTAAAAAACAATCTCTGCACCTTAATGCATCGAAAAATTCTAGAATATGCTATAGGGGTTTCTAAACTTCCTCAAAATGTAAATGTTTGTAAGGATGTAGTTCCGGAATCACCTTTTGCTAGGTTAATTCGACAGTCTCAAAACTAAAGCAAATCTTTCACGTTTATCCAAAAAGATCATTAGATGGTTTGATGAGACCAAAGGCAATGGTAAAACATTTGAGTATAGATTTACAGGGCATGAATCCCGTATGTTTCTGCACAACTTTATGTACCTCATACAAGCCATTTAAAAAAAAGTAACTGATGTCAGAATCACATAAATTCAAACTTCATGTTTTTGCTTTCGCCTGCCTTAAGCTACGTGATGCAGTCGCTTTATTTAACCAATTTGAAATTAAACTAACCGACCTTGCAGAGCTTGATAAGGCATGTGCTGATTTTTACTATTGCATTGCAGTTTTTCTTAAGGTGAACCCATCGGTATGGGCTCTTGGCCATGTTATACCTGTTCACACTAGAGAAATGTTTGCTAAGTATGGAAAGGGTCTCGCTCTGAATTCGATGGAAGGCTGGGAAGCGAAACATCAGGCCATTTCGAGATATGCAAAAAATTCCAATTATAATACTTGTTGGCTTCAGATATTTTGACATGAGTTTGTCTCGCTTATTTGGTTGAGAGAAAAGGGGTACAACCTAAGTCATACAAACCGAAGGAAATACACATACATTCCAAAACGCATTCATGAAGAAGGGTTTTGCTATTGTGGACTTCCCAAAAGAGATGTTTGTGATTATTGTAGCCATGAATATAGGTCACAAATTGAAAAAAGTGTTAGCTTAAAGTATGTTCAACAAGAGTTTGTTACATAATCTTAAGTATTAATGCATTGCACCAGTTAAATTTACCTCTTGCAATTAGGAAATGTAAGAGCTTGCAACTGTAGCAAACACTTTCAGAAATATGGGAGGGTTGTCCGGTTTCTTCCAGCTTCATTCTGAAAATTTATTTGCAAAACTACATAAAAAATTTTAAAAACTGAGCTTTTGGACTGAGCATCCATCATCAGGGAAATTTAATACTCAATTAAAGATAAAACATGCAGGGGCCAGTGCTCCCATCACTCCACCCCTCCCTTTCTAGTGTCTGTCTCTGCTTTCACAAAAAATATTTATTTTTAGATTATAACTTATTTATTCTTAATATAATTGTTCTAATATAAAGTTTTTACTTGTTAAAATGTTATTGGAAAATTATTTATTCTTAAAATAATTGTTGTAAAGTTTTACTTGTTAGAGATTTTGAAATGAAATAAAGTTTATTTTTTTTTTAATTTTGTACTGCTAATGAAATTTAGTCATGATTATAAAATTAAATTTGTGCATTGATTCGTTTTGTTAAGTTACCATCAGGGACTGGTCATAATTTATCAGGGGGGAGGTGTAATTCAAAATTTTAAGGAATGATATTTTGTGACCCTGCTTTTCCATACCCGGAAAAATAATGCCCCCCCCCCTTATGTGAGAAGAACAAAATGTAAGAAGGCATGTATAAAACAATTGATTGAACTAAAACAGCAGACTCCCTCCCCACCTTCATAAACTGTCTAATATTTTATGAACCCCCTTTTTCCTGGCTAAAAAATATGTGACCCCCTCCCCACTGTTTCCACCTCCCCACCCCTCCTGCTAAATTATGACCAGTCCCTTAATGCCTCTCGATCAGTTAATGTGCTTGATTGTATCAAGGCCATGCCATTTCAAACAGGCAACTTTTGTATGCAATTTTAATTTTTCTTCCTGAATATGTGACTGAGTGTATTTTATGCATACAAAAGCATCAGACATTCAAATGAATGCCAGCCAGGAAAATTATATTTTCTTGACAGTGAATTTTCTACTCATTTTCTACTCAATCATGTACCAGGAACAAAAAATCTCACAAAAAATATTTGCATGAACAGGTCAGCCAGCTTCAGGGTACCAAAGTTGTACTGCCAGAGAAACAAAAATCAAGGTAAATAACTTGGTAATAATAAATAGACTTTTGGAAATATTATTAGTAACCCAAAATAGTATAAAACAGTAAGGTGTTGGGAAGAGTATAATATTGTCTACACTCCCCTTGGTAAGTTCAATTATCAGGCACACAGTACTAGGTGCACTTGTACCCATTCTGGCTTTATATTAAGAGACACAGGAAATCGTGCCCAGATGCAACCTACTTTATTATTTTACTCTGTCTAACACCAGATGATTTCACTCATCAATGGGAGAGCGCTGGCGCTTAATGGTTTACAAGTTGTTCCAGAAAAATATAATTAATATATTTACCACTCAATATTCCAGAAATATTACTACAAAAAGTGTGAATTCATGTGAAATTTAAAGCATTGAAACACAAGGTTCTCCGCTAAATGTTTATGCACTTGTCAATTGTAGCCCCCCCCCCCCCCCCCAACCTCGGGAAAAGGTGGGGATATGTCAGGCGTTTTCCCCCTTTTGACTTTTAGTTACGCCTGATTAGGCGGGGATTTTTCTCTTATAGATCCCCGACCCTGTTATGTGGGGCATTATGTGGCAATGTATACAGCCCACGAGATCGAGATCCATCAGTACTCCCAAATTTGTTAAACAAATATTTCGCGTCGATAGGACATAAGTTAGGAACAGATACGACACAATCCGAAAGTCATTTTTCTGATTACATGAAAAATATTCAAATTCAACAGTCTTTCTTCTGCACACCAATTACGCCGTCAGAAATAGAGTCCGAAATACTGTCTATACAAAACAAGAAAGCCTATGGTTTATACTCGTGTCCTACAAAAATTTTAAAATGTTCAAGTAACGTGATAAGTAAACCTTTTTCTGATATTTTAAACATATCAATTGAAAATGGAGTTTATCCTTCTATTTTAAAACATGCCAAAGTAATTCCTATTTTCAAATCTGGTGATGAAATGGAAAAAGGCAATTATAGGCCTATATCACTTTTATCAAACTTAAATAGAATTTTTGAAAAAGTTATGTACAAATGCTTTATGAGTTTCATCCAAGACAAAAATATTCTATATCACTCACAATATGGTTTTAGACGGCAACATTCAACGCAACATGCAATTCTTGATATAGTTAATAGGATACAGGAAAATATAGACAATAAAAAATTTACGTGTGGTATTTTTATTGATCTACAAAAAGCGTTTGATACTGTAGATCATACAATTTTATTACGTAAACTTCAATGTTATGGATTCAGAGGTATAATCTATGATTGGTTTTCATCATATTTAACAAATCGAATTCAAACTACGGAAATTGATAACAATATTTCGAACAAGGAAAGAACAATTTGTGGTGTACCACAAGGATCAGTACTTGGTCCACTACTTTTTCTTATTTATATAAACGATATTCATTACTCTTCTGACAAATTTAGTTTCCATTTGTTTGCTGATGATTCCAACTTATTATATTCAAACAAGAATCCTAAAACCCTTGAAAGCATTGTTAACACAGAACTAGAAAAAGTTTACAGATGGTTAAATGCAAATAAATTAACAATGAATACTAAAAAATCAAACTTTATTATTTTTCATCCTTATCAAAGAAATCTAAACTACCAAGTAAATATAAGAATATTTGACTGGAAGGACAAGAAATATATTTCTCTTGAACGCAAGGAATACATTAAATATTTGGGACTTTTACTAGATGAACATTTAACTTGGAAACAACATATAGATTATGTAGCATGCAAAGTAAGCAAAACAATCGGAATCATCGCCAAACTCCGACATTTTGTTCCTCTTCAGGTACTTACAAGTATCTATCGATCACTTATTTCCCCCTATCTATCCTACGCTATTACTGTTTGGGGAAATGCTTCTCAAACTAATTTAAAAAAACTCTTGGTACTTCAAAAGCGTGCTCTACGGTTAATGCATTTCGCTAATAATCGCGATCATGCCGTTCCTTTCTTTAAAAATACAAATAACTTGCCTATTAACATGTTATATGTTGAAACAGTTTCAAAATTAATGTACGACATTAGTCATAATTCAGCACCTAGAAATGTAATGGATCTCTTTACTCAAGTTGCTACTGTTCATTCCTATAATACCAAATCCTCTACTGCTGGTAATTATCAGATAAAATCAGCATAATGCTTTCTCTAGAGTTGGTGCTAAAGTATGGAATTCTGTCCCTGAACATCTCCGCGATCTTAAAAAAAAGGATTTCACTAGTAAGATGACTATGTTGATCTCCCTATGATTTTGCAGAGAATGTCTGTTTGATCTTATTTTTAATATTTCATGGGTACGTTATTAACAGTACATCATTCATCAATCAGATCCTACACCACCTTTCAAATTCCACCGCTAATAATACATTTCTTTAATTTTTTTTTATTTTTTCTGCACGTATATATACAGTAAAATTGTCTGCAACTAATTGAAATTATAACTGTCTAAATTTATATTTCATGCCCGCCTCTGATTAGCTATTGCTATTTGCGGGTCATGTTATTTCTATCTTATGTATTTTATTTTATTGAATAAAATTGTATTGTATTGTATTGTATTGTATTGGTTGAGTGGAGCTAGCCTGATCTTTTCAAAGTCAATTTTTACTGGAACAGGTAATTTTGTGTTTGCATTTAGAAGTTCTATATTCTGTTTGTTTCACTTTATAGTGAGAAAATAGTTTTAATGTTTAGTTGTGAATTTATTTTTGCACATAATAGCTGCCTGATCGCAAATACTATTTAATTTACATACATATTTAGATTTTAATATCCTGATATTACTTTTATTTTGAAAATAAAAATTTTGTTAAGCTAGTTCAATAAAACATTTCAAATTTTCCCCCTATGGGTTGGGGGATTAAACAAGACTAGTCAGGTCAGCCTGCCTCAAGGGGGTTGGGCGATAGTTAAGTTATCAATATATTAAAAATCTATGTCCCCACATTTCCCCGAGGTTTGGGGGGAGTACAATTGACAAGTGCATTAATTAGACAGTGTAAATGACTAAAATAATATAAGGCACATTACATTGCATGTCAGATAGCCTGCTTAACCAGCTAACACATGTACACAGTACCCAATCGGTCCACAATTAGAATGTATTGTCAGGCACTTGAAATAGCAAAAGAATAAAGTAGCTAGCTAGGGAGCACTACGGCTTAACAAGTTAATAATAAGCTTTTATATAAGTTTACTCAAATATGCTGAGGGAATCCATTACTATTTCACAGTCCATAGTTAAAACTGATTACAAACTGTCCAGTAGAATGTTTGAAAATCATCCCAAAATCCTTCACGCTTGTTACAATTAGTTTTGCCTTTCCAGACTTTAAGGATTTGCAAAAATAATTCCACACTTGTTTGTTATGATATGCAGTAAGCAAAAAGCTGCAAAACACTGTCTTTCGAAGTCAAAGACATGACGGTAACCTTTCTGTTGCTGGAAACATAGCAATTTGGTTCCTTGAATTCTGCAAGAGAACTGGTTTTTACTGCTAGCTGAAGTGCTTTGAAAACATCAAAGGGAAGGTCTCTCTTTATCTCGGCATAAAAAGGATTTCTGATTCTTTGACGAGCACTAATTCCTCTGTTAATTAATTTGAGCCACAGTGTACTTTCACGCTGAAGAACTGAACCACAACTAATGCTTGTTTGTAAAGCAGCAGATATATCTCCAGTGTTAAAGGAACAACAAACATTCAAACATGCCTCCATAAATTGAACCGTACTTGATTTAAACAATTCAGTATCAAGTTGTATTCCTGGCTCTGAACTACGAATAGATTCTGTAATCTCCGAAACTTTACTTTCTAATACGTTTCGTCGTGACTTCAGTTTTGTTTCCATGTTGACTGGTTCAAAATCTTCCATGTCATCACTTTCATTTCCATCATGTAACATACCGATTACTTCGTCCACCCCCAATACAGTCGCCATTTTGCATAAATAATTAGTACTTTCTTGGGGAGTCCCGCTGACCACATAGTTAATCTTGTGGCGTAATTTGGATCGACGTTTGCCCACCGTGTGTTATCCATCGTTATTTGCTCTTCAAGATCAGCAGACAACTCGTCGTTAAGGCCATGTGTCACTTGACAACTACGCTGATGCATTTTTTAAGGCTTCGCGCACCTTTGCATATCTTGCCACAACAACACTTAACAACAGTACGGCTTGGTACAGGAACATTAGGTGACTGCATAACAGGTACTTCTCTCGATGTAATATCAGGGCGGTCTTGTTCAGCATGATTAATGTGTTGTTTACATCGCCACAAATGGCGACCAAGCGAGATGAAGTCTTGTCCACAAAACGAACAAGCGACACAAATAGCAATAATGCTTGAACGAATCATAATGAAAATCTTTTTGTTATGAACAATATTAAGAAATACTGTGATTCAAATACGAAATCAGCGATGAAACTATTGACATGTACAGAGCACATATAAACGTGTGTCTGCTCGACGTAAATGATGATAATAATAATACTGCAGTAATAAATTTACGTGGTGTTTCCACAAACAAAACTATTACACTCCTCAATCATTTTAACCTATTTAATTGTACCCTTTAGGGAATGCTTGATTATTATCAACGCGAAACAATTTTATAACCACAATATAGATACTTCCGAATTTCTACTTTGAATCTATACTTTGAAATAGATTACATTGTCCCACCTCCCCCCCCCCCATGTCTATTAATTTAATCTATTTAATGGCAATACAGGGTGTATACAACATGGCAATGTGCATTTTTTATTGGTGCATTAATGTATTTTTTCATAATCATAAAGATTTACCTTTTAGCTGTATAGGAAGAGCAAATACAAATCCAATAAAAATTGTTTGTCAAAAATGCATATATTTTCAACGTTGAGAATAGGGTCTAAATCCATTGAAAATTAGCTGATAAAATATCTGCATATGCATATAATTATTATAACTCATCTTGTGAACCAGCTCTGAGCTCAGTCATAAGTGTGTTGTATCTATGTCCATTTGAAACATGAGCAGCAGTGTTTTATCAGATTATAAAGCTATGAGGTGAAGCTGATTAGCTGAGTATCTTTAGGTCTGATAAAACATGCACTGTGAATGTTATAAATTGCTTCAAGAATGATTGATCTAGTAAGTTCATTGACAAAGTAATTTTTAAAAAATATGTTGTGTAAATCGAGAAAATCAAAGTGAAAGTTTATGTAAATCTTTCACATAACGTATAAAGACTATAGTCTATACGTAATTTGTAAGACAAGCCTTTTAAGGAATTTAATTTCACTGGATCAAATGCAGGCTTGCCATCTGTCCAGTCTGTGCTGCATTGTTGAAGCTCTTGTTCAGAAAAGAAGAATGATAGAAGCTTCAGCACACATTTATGTGGTTCTTCAGAACTTTCCAACACCGCACTGATTTTTTTTACATCTTTGCTTGGCGTCACAAATTTTCGAATTATATCGTCAGACAACAATTGGCTTGTGCTTGTTTCTGATTAGCTACATCCGGCGTGGTTTTACCAGATTCCCCTTTAAGTGTTTTGATGAATATTATTTGTGCATGGGTTCTCTACCAAGTGCCTCAAGGTATCAAAATCTATGGTTGACAACTGAAACTGATTATCAGTTGAGGCAAGACTTGAGGAATTGAGGGGTGGTGAATCTTCTCCCACAAGAGAAACAGAGGAATCGTCAATTGGGCTATTGAACTGCTGTTGTAAATTAGTAGCTTAATTAGATTCAGTAAAAATATATAGTAAAAATTTATATATGCATGCCAATGTTATGACCAAAATATGTATAAAGTAAACTGGAACATTTGAATAACAGGAAATACAAGCATTATTAAACAAAAACAGGAACTTTTAACATTTTAGTAAATAAGACAGAATGTACGTACATAAGGGAAGTTTGTGGGTTGACTTGTGGTCAACCAAGCGAGGAAGATGTGAATAATGCATCACACATTGAACTTCCTCTGGGAAAAAGTTCCCACAGTATGAAAAGTCAGAGAGTATAAATACGAGTGAGATTGTCGAAAGAGGGAGTTGAGTCGTGAATGTGTTGAAATGAATTGTGAAAGAGTGTTTGTATATCGATAGCAGTGATCAATCATATGTAACAAATGATAATAGAATAAAATTTGTGAAAACCGAAAGCATACAGTCCCATTATATTTGAGAACCAGCAAAGGAATAAATCTCATGAGGAGAATTTATAACATGTGGTCCTTCGAGCTGGATAGAGTACGACTGATCCACTGAAAAAACGCAAAAAGACGAGAAGTGGCCACTGAGCGTTTGTGGCAAAGATACTACGTGAAGCGAAACAGATCGTAGTAAAGTTTCAACCAGAACAAGAAGCGAAGGCATTGCAGTTGAGATCTGTGCTCAACGAACAACTGCTGCCACTAGAACCCTTAGATAAGGAGATTTTGTCGCTTATGAATGTACACGAGAACCCTGATGTCGAAACTGCGCAACCAAACACCCCGGTAGAGTCGATAGTTGATTCCCCAACCCCGAGTCTACAGCCAGTACATGCTCATATGGTTAGAGCGAAACTTCCCAAGCTCAAGGTGAAGAAGTTTCACAGCAAACTCGAAGACTGGCAAGAGTTCTGGGATGACTTCGAAAGTGTGATCCACCGCAATGGAAGTTTATCGAATGTCGATAAATTTAATTACCTTAGAGCCCTGTTGACGGGACAGGCGAAATCTGTGATTGCAGGGTTTTCATTAACATCGGCAAACTACGAGTCTGCAGTGCAACGTTTGAGGAAAAGATATGGTAAAAATACATTGATTAAATGTACCCATATACAGGAATTATTGACTGTACAACAGGTGTATAGTGTGAGAGATTGTGGGCGTTTACGAGTATTATTTGACAAGATAGAAACACATTATCATGGACTGGAAGCCCTTGGTGTGGACGAGGCAACTTATTCTGACATTGTTGTACCTGCTATTCTGGAAAAGATCCCTGAAGTTGTACATTTGACTATAAGTCGTGACAAACTTCACAGTGACTGGAGTATGAACGATGTACTAACTGCCTTGGAGAAAGAAATTGAACTGAGAGAGAAATACCAGACCAATCGCCAAAAGGAGATGTATAATGGCAGAAACAATGGTCCATCCACAGGGAGTGTGTTAAATGTTGTAAAACAAGACGAAAGCTGCGTTCTGTCAAGGGAAACACCACCATGAAGACTGCAGGAGAATCACAGATACTAAGGAATGTAAGCTTATTTTAATGAAATATTCTAGATGTTTTAATTGCATGAGAAAGGGACATAGGGCACAGGATTGTAGGCCCGTAGTTTTATGTAAAAATTGTAATGGTAAACACCACACTGCTATGTGCGTAGAGGAAACGAAAGGGGCAGATGACGTTGCTGCTCAAAATGTTTCAGAGACCGAAGTTTCACTTAATACACATGTGAGCAGTCGTTGCCGTGTATCTCTTCAAACAGCCCAAGGCCATATCAAGGGAAAACTCAAGTAGGAAATCTCAAGCCTACTAAACGGAATGTACTTAGTGTGTTATCAAGAATTTTTGACCCACTTGGCATTATATCGCCAGTGTTAGTAAGCATGAAATTACTTTTTCAAGAGCTTTGTTCTGAAAATTATGATTGGGATGATGAATTGCGTGAAGAGAAAAAGCAGTAATGGAACGATTGGTTAGACAAGTTTTGCAAAACAAAATCCATTGAAATTGACAGATGTTTGTATAAAAATCCGAATGAAGAGATATTAGAATATCAATTACATGGCTTTGCTGATGCTAGCAACAAAGCATACTCAGCTGTTGTCTATATTTTATGTCGAATGCAAAGCGGAATACATATACGCGATTGATAGCAAGTAAATCTAGAGTTGCGCCGCTTAAAAGATTAACCATACCTAGGTTAGAATTAATGTCCTCCACCTTGTTAGCTAGACTTATGCACACGATCAAGAGCGCATTAGCGTCGCAATTAGAAGCAAGCCAAATAACATATTGGCTTGATAGTAAAACTGCATTATGTTGGATACAAAACCGTGGAGAGTGGAAACAATTCGTACGACATAGAGTGAATGAAATTTTGCAATTAAGTAAGTATGAATGGAGGCATTGCCCAGGCAAATACAATGTGGCCGACATAGGTTTGCGCAGAATGGGAGCATTACAATTAAATGAAAAGGACATGTGGTGGCATGGTCCACAATGGTTGTCTGAAGGCGAGCACGCATGGTCTGCTTCATGATAGAAAGTGAGGTCAAAGAAAAGAAGACAGCTATTGTGATGATTACTGAAGCGTGCCAGGTTTGAAGTGTTGCCAATGTTATTACAATTGAAAACTTTAGTAGTTTGTTAAGACTTTTGAGAGTAACAGCTTGGGTGTGTTACAATTGTTGTGCCAAAATGAAAGCAGTTAGATGGAAAGATCAACTCACTAGAGCGGAGTTGCATACAGCTCAAGATCATACAGCTCAAGATCATACAGCTCAAGATGATTGGATAAAAGAAGCACAAAATTGTTAAAAGCAACAAGGAAATTTTGAGCAACTAAAACATAAGCTTGGTTTAGTTGAGGAACGCGGTATTTTTAAATGCGTGGGTCAATTGAATAATTCAGATTTAGAGTTAGACGTGCAAAAACCAACAATACTCCCACATGATCACAAATTGACAGAAATGATTATAATCAAATGTCATGCTAAGATACATCATGGGGGCATTAGAGCGACATTGACAGAATTAAGGTCTAGATTTTGGGTCCCAAAAGGGTGCCAGACAGTTAAGAAAGTTTTGAAAATTTGTGTTACTTGCAAAAGATGGCAAGGTGCAGCTTACAGTAGTCCAAAGACAGCAGCAATGCCGGCATTTAGAGCTGGAGAAGCTCCGCCATTTCCCAAGGTTGGAAGTGACTTTGCCGGATGACTGTATGTTAAAGATCCAAAATCACGAGATATGCGCAAAGTTTACATAGCCATATTTTCATGTTGCGTCACTAGAGTGATACATCTAGAGCTAGTTAATGATCTGTCAGCAGCGACCTGTCACAGAGTGTTAAGACAATTTTCAGCGCGAAGAGGAACACCAAGTTTAATTGTCTCTGACAATGCTAAAACATTTAAGGCAGCTGCAAAAGCAAATGAAAAATTACAAAATCACCCAGGAATAAAAAATTATTTAGATAAGATGCTCATAGAATGGAGATTTAATTTAGAAAGAGCTCCATGGTGGGGCGTTTTTTGAAAGTATGTTAGGCAGCGTGAAAATATGTTTAAGGAAAGTACTAAGCAATTCCAGAGTTACAAGTGATGAGCTACTAACAATTTTAGTTGAGATTGAGGGAACGATAAATTCTTTAATTCTCGACCACTTACATACGAGTATAATGCTTGTGATGTTACTCTGAGTGTATGTCCACACCGGGCAAGCTTGAAAAATATGCCTTACCACAGTGGGAATTGAACCTACAACCTGTGGAATACTAGCCCAGTGCTCTGCCAACTGAGCTACGTAGTCAGGTTGGTTCGAGTATGTGATATTTCGGAACAGAATCTAGTTCCTTCGATATCAGTGTAATCAAATAATCAAGAAATTATGATTCATACATCTTGACAGCAACAAAATAACAGAACGGACAGTGTTCCACTAAATTATTATTTATGCCAGAATAGGATGGCACAGCCAAGCCCTCCCCCACTGGCTGGGGAACCCTACTATCTTGATGATGCAAGCAATTGAACTGTTTACTATCCATTATTATTTCATTTGTCTGGTCTCACAAACTCAAATATAGTTTCGTCTTAACCTTCCCAAACTGTATCCAGCTAGCTGACATAATAGTTAAAACTAACAATTACAACAATATATATAATATATGTCTACCTAGACAATACAAACCTTCAAGAGAATGTTCTAGAAGAAACCTTTCAAACAACTGCTTCAGCTTTCTTCAAAATCATCTTCAATATCAACTTTAAACTGCCTCTTGCATTGGTTAGGATAAGTTTGCACAACTTCCATTAATCCAATCCTTCCCAAAAGATGGTGAGAAACAATACTTTGAGCAATAGCATATCTGCTGCTCTCCTAAAGAAACACCATTCAGATTTAGATTGACTCATGCACAGGTCGCTGTAATCACTTGTAATACACAACTCAAAGTGGTCATGGCTGCATGGAAAGGGGTATTCACCCCCATTAAATTTGTATTTCAATCAAATTTTCATTTTTTATCTTCGTTGTTGATCAATCGAAATTCCTGGCCTACATGACCCAATAGAAGAACAGTTCAATTTGAAAAAGGCAAACAAAAGAGGTTGGAAACTCTCTGAAACATTAGCATTTCCTACAATCAATCCTGCTCAGCAGTGTCCCCTGAAAGAGGGAAATTAAGTCACCCCTATATGACTAGCAATAAATTAGGCAATGCACATTGGACAGTACATTGCTATTTATAATGATAACTTCCATTATTTTCCCAAGTGGTTCTAGGCCCTAGTTTGCTTGACACAGCTAACTCAAGTGTCAATGGATCAATTTATCCCAACTGTTGATGGTACTCCACATTCAGACAATATCTTCAAAAATGTGGGATCATTATTCAAACAAGGAAGACTTTCCTTACTACAGTCAACAACCTTAGAAAATATAAAAATATTTGGAACAAAATTGTATTGATTGGTCAGCAATGTGATTTGTTTCGTTGGCATTACTCTAGACTTCCCAACAACAAACGAGACGTTCAGTAGACCATCCACGTCAACAATGCGTAGGTACAAAACTGCTCCATAATCGGGTCTAGAGGCATCGGAAAGACAGTGGAGTCGAACACTATACAGTTCCTCTTTCAAATTCAGTTTGAAAAATCTTGGAATTGAAAAATCTTGGAAATCCACAAGATTACTGTCACAAAGCGACACAACAGAACCATCATCTAATGTGTATGTTTCAAATTCCTCTGTTCCAGCCATTGCACTAACTTTAACAGGTAGGACTCTTAGACGTACCCCCAGGATTTCCGGCCCCAGTAACACCACATTGACCATTACTAGTCTCACCTACGGATTTTTCATTTACCTTCTTTTAAGGCTCGTCCTTGATTCCTTTCCCAATGGATGCTATGATGGCGTTGACCACATTCAGCTACCATACAATTGTCTTGTCTTCTACATTGCTTTGCAAAATGTCCTTTATCGAAACAAATGTTACAAAGCTTTTCCTTTAGCATAAATTCCTTCAGAGACTCAAAATTTTGACTCCTAAAAGAGTAGCACTTCTCCAACAAGTGACCAACTTTCTTACAGTAGTAACAACTTGCAATGTTCGAATTGCCCTGAGTTGCATAGGATGACCCTTGTGGTTTTCTACCTCTGAATTTCTGCGGCTGGCAATCTTCTTGTGGTTTGGAACCGATTAATTGACCGAATGCACTACTAGCCAAGTTCGCTTTTGCAATGATGAAACTTGTGAGATTCAAAAAGGTGGGCACTTTCCCTTTTTCCAATATAGCGAAAGCCTCTTTTGCCCATTCTGCTTGTAAGAATCTAGGTAACCGCGAAACAATCTTCTCGAGGTTACTTTGTGCATTGATTTCAGATTCGCAACCCAACTGAGTCAAGTTAATCTGACAGTTTTCCATATCCATCCCCAACTGAAGTAATTTATCACTTTCACCGTCTCTTATCACACCTCCCTTCGTCACTTTATTAATGTGTGCACAGGGTAATGATATGACTTTGACCGAATGAGTTATGAAGTATCTTTCTTTCTTTTGCATATCCTTCTTGCTCGGGCAACATAACACAATTACTAATTGCTTCTTTTGCTGTACCAATACAAAATTTAATGAGATAAGCTAATATTACTCTCGGACTTTGTTCTCTCTCTTCAATATTGATCTTAAAATTCTTTATGAATCTCGGGTAGTTCATTGGATTCCCATCGAATTTCAGGCAATCACGCTTCGTATCAAACCCTTTCCTTGTCGCTTAACCAAGAGTTTCAGCTACTCTTGTTGATTGTACTCTCCTCGATTTATCTGTTCAGTTCCACTGTTGATTGTACTCTCCTCGATTTATCTGTTCAGTTCCACTTGTTACAAATTTAACCAGTTTATTGGTTGGATGTTCATTACAAGGTTGTGTTTCTTCAGCAGGAGCTGGCTCTTTTATATACTGACATCTTGCTCCTGACAACCCGGTCTCCTTGTCCTTTAGTGACGAGAAACCATGATAGTGCATTGCATGTTCATTCATGGAAGGTGCGGCCGTAGTTAATTCAGGATCGTTCAAAAGGGTTTCTTTATCTGTATCTTGGGCCCCAGACAATCCAAACTCACGATTTACGTCAGCATCATGTAGCGTTAACTTGAGTTTACCAAGGTTCACTGATGATTTCTCAGCTTCTTCTTCCAGCTTAGCTTGTTCTATCTCATTCTTAATCCTCAAGAGTTCTTTCTGGTATTGCAATTCAGCTTGCTTTGTATATAATATGTAACAATTCCATCTGCTGTTCGAGATCTTGCTGCTGCCTTTCAAGGCACTGCCGCTTTTCCAGTTCAGCCTTCGCTCTTCTTATCTTTGCGCTCCCAGACATCAAACTTACTCTTAGGCTAGCGAAATCATTGTTTCTCGTTTAATTGTCTATTTGACCTACTCTGACTTTGAAACTCTGCGGCTCTTCCTGAAAGACTCTGTAAGGATAATTTTGTCTGCATCTCATCCGCCAAATTTAGATCACTGTGATCTTGCATGTTCAAGTATGCAAATGATGTTGTTACACGCTCATATTCTTTCAAGCATGACGTCATCAGTTTGGCTTGTACTGGACTTTCATGAATTTGATCTGTATCTATTTGTCTTGGCAGACGATATCCACCCAACAATTATCTTGTCAAGTTCTTTCTCTTAATGTTATTATACTCTCGAGCCACTTGCTGGTGCTCGATTTCTTCTCCAGATCATCAATTATCTTTAAAGTTTCCGGTAGCACTTTGAATAGTTAATGAATGTTTTGTCAAACAAGCTTTTCTCGACCTTTACTGCCTCTTTATTGCCTGGATCAATCATCAATTCCTCTATACGACCTCTTACTCGATTCAAAACAACCCAATAAGCTGAACGAGACACCTTGTAAGGTTCGAAGCTTCTCTAATATAACACATTCTAGATTTCTCCGGAAAACAGCTCGCTTTGGCCGTTCAGCTTCGCTAATTTTCGCTACTTCTGCTTCGGACGCCATGAAATATAATAATTCCCTGTGAGAAAACTTATGTAATAGCCAACTCTATTATTCTATAATCTATATTCATCCCTCAATAGGGCAAACACAACTCGACTGACTGTATTTCCTGAAGAATATAATTCAAAATTGTCGACACTGGTTTTCTAAACACATACAACATAACTTAATAACTTAATACCTATCAATATATTAACAAACCATCTACTATTATTAAGAACTAATTCTTACCTCACAATGAGGGAATTCACATATGACCTCTAACTTGTAAATGTCCTTATAACATCTCTACTGTAACATGTCTCTTCGCGTTTGCAATTTGTCTCAATTACTTCGCATGTGCTCGCTAAAACATGAGCCCTCGGTGCATGCATATATTTAAATATTAATTCTCAACTTTGGCGCTACAGGGGCTTTTGCTTATTTTAGGAAAGGTGGTCAAAACAAATCCTCAGCTTTCCACAGAGTGGGGGTTAAAATTGACTCATAAGAATGCATGCATAAGAATGGCGTGGAATGGCATTTAGTCTTAGACACAGAAATGTTCAATATATCTTATCGTTTTCAAATCTAAACACATGCAGTTAGTCAGATACTGTTCGGCTTTTTACATTCTATAAATAAAGATTTTCTATGCTAGCTTTATATGTCCTAAGTTTAATAGAAAGTTAAAGTTCATGTATGAACAGGTACCTTTTGCTAGCTTCGAGCAGTCGATCCATCTTCAAAAGATTCTGATCGATTGTGGTGGAGTAACGGAACAAAGAAAGCATCCCGGCCTGACATGTCTAGGACTTGATATGCACTGTCTTGTAAAATACAATTATCCTCAATGTGAAGCTAAAAAGAAAAGTCGACATAGACGATTATGTTAGTTTATGCGATCATTTAAACATTTTGGTGCATGATGTATGTTTCATGGCCAGAAATCGCGGACATTTGAGCCCATGCATACCGTGGCAGCAGCTTCTCTCGTATGTCCATTTTATCCTTTCTTACCCTTCAGTTTACCGTGTGCATCCTATTTATTCCTGTCATATCCCATTTTATAACAAATCACGAGGAGCAAACATGGCAACAAAACGAGCTCGAAAAATACATGATTATAATCAGTTGAATTCTCTGTCCTTGGTTGTTTTGTGGGACACAGCTCCGCAGCTGAAAAAAGCGAACACTTTCTATGAAGTTGAGAGAGTGATAACAAGGCAAAGGATACACTTCGTCAGACCATTGTAAGTAAGACCATGTTAATACTATATAAACACTCTGCTTTGGTGTGTTATGCAACAGAAACAATGTCAGTACTCTGTAGAGACATCTACAGCAAAAAACGATTCGATATACTTTGATTTTTATACAGTTTAAAGAATAAATATTTACAATCCTACAACTACAAGCTCGATGAAACAAGGTTGCCTGTTTTATGAGTCAAATGAGTCTATGAGTTATGAGTCAATGAGTCATGAGTCAGTTCAAAAAAATTCTTTTTTTAATTTCCGGTCCGCGGTAGACTGACCACCCGCATAATACGTCATGTAGCATACACAAAATTCGTCAACACTACGTCACACACACACAAGCAAATTTAATAGCAAATATGGATAAGGTGAGTGTTTTGATTTCTAAATCTTCAATCTTTTTCCATCCTGTGTTTTATAATAGTATATTTTGTTAAAATGTAGTTGATTTAGTTGATTAAGTGTTTTAGAATGGTTTTATTGAAAGTGAAATGGCAAATTATCAATGTAAAATGTTGTTTGTTGTACTGAAAGAATTTGATTAATATCTTAGTTTATTTCCATATTAAGCACATGTCATTCAAAGTAAGACAAAACTGGATGGATATATTAGCAAACCATATCAAAATTCATAAGCCATTTTAAATAATGTTTCCTAAATAATTTCTACTAAATATTTTGTTTCATCACAACACTTTTTTTTTTTGGGGGGGGGGGGTTCCCGCCAATACAGGCTCAAGATTTGCAGGTGATGCAATTTCATTCATACTATACCACATACTGTATAATCAATTTAAATGAATAATGTTGTGTAATGTGTTTTTTTGGTTCCCCTACAGATTATTGTAGATTTGACAAAAAGCCCTCTGAAATCTACTGAAGTGAGTACAATAAATGATGCATTTTGTTGTAAAAGTTGTCGATAAATACTGCAGTATTAAACTGATAATTAAGCACACGTGTTTATGACATGTATGAATCCCTTGTCTGGTGTATGATAACAGCCAGGGCCGCCCAGAAGGAGGCAAAAGGGTCAGTTTTCCTACAGTGACTACTGGCAAGAGGGCCCTGAATAATAATGTTGTTTGTAAAGGCTGTAATGTAAACAAACGCTCTGTTTACTTTTCTATAATTTCTATATTTCTAAAATATGGTATACTATTAAACTGAATATCTAACACTGTTCTGGTTCGCTATGCTCGTAAATGAATATAAACTAGAGTTTCAATTCAAAAAAGTGGCGGAAAGATGTGAAATTTGGCAAATGTTTAAATCTATGAGTTCCCCTTTGTTATGAGCAGAACCGTTGCACAGAATGCAGATTTTACGTGGTCTTTAAATTCAGTCCAAAATATGATTACCATTTAATTTAATTTATTAGCATTTGGGTGTCTGGGGGCCCTTGCATAGAACATTTTTCTATAATTAACTTTGACCACTCTGAGGTGGACGGAAAGCCTTTACAGGTTTCAACCCAATTACAAAGTCTCCAAGGCTTAGATAAAAATTGATTAAAATTCCTACATACCAGATATGATTTAAGACCTAAAAAAATACTACATTAAAAGATTGTGTGATTGAAGTGCAAGTGTTTCTTTTTTTTCCCAACATTATTGGGTTAAAGCTACAGAATTAGATATTTACAAAGTAAAATAAAGACAAAAGAAAAGAAAACTTATATTAAAAATATGTGGACAACAAAACCAAACAAAACAAACTAAACAAACAAAAATTACAAGTCTCATGCAATCCATGTGACAGTCTCTCAATGTTGACCAAGTACAAGACATGTTTATACTGTATGCATTACAAATTTACATTCACATCTTTTACAAACTATTACCAGTGCCTTTTAAAACACTTGCATTTATAAGCAGTTTAAGTGGGTTGCGATTTTCAATTAATCCATTAAGCGCCAGCGCTCTCCCCTTGACGAGTAAAATCGTCTGACGTTAGACAGAGTAAAATACTCTGGCGTTAGACAGAGTAAAATACTAAAGTAGGGTGCATCAGGGTGCAATGCGACTCAATGGGTTAAATACTGAGAAAATAGAAGAGAGATTGAATAGTAGGCTACACTTCACAAGCTATCCGGTTTAAGTTATATTCATATTCAAGTCGCTTAGGGAGCAGTCATTATTAATGCCAGGGGGGGGCAGAAGATTTGGGGGGGGACCAAGAATTTATCAACCAGTTAGGGGGGCTACCAAAAATATCAAAGAAAATAGGGGGGGCACCAAAAATAATTAACAATTATTCGCCGAAGGCGAGGTGATTATCGGTGAATAAAAACCGAGACAAAGTCGAGGTTTTTATTCACGATAATCACAGAGCCTGAGGTGAATAATTGTTTCAGGATAATTTCATAGGTGATTATTTGAAAAAAAAATTAAAAATGCACATTTCTTCGTCTTTCAATTGACAAAATGGCTTCGGCCGCCATTTTGAAAATCGCTTAGGTGATTATCGCGTAATAATCACCTCAACGGTAACCAATCAGCGTGGAGAATTTTCAATAATCACCTATGTAATTATACTAATGTACAATAATCATAAAACATCAGCAATTATAGTTCACTGTAATATAAATGTCAATGCAATATAAGTATAGGTAATCACACAGGAAGGAGTGCAATTAATTATATTAACACTACGAGTAATATTTGAAAAATGCGCCAAAATTGCACAAGCTGTTAATTAATTGCCAGTGTTAATTGCGCGACTTGCCCGAGTGATTATATTTTATGCATAGCATGATGAAATTCAATAAAATTCAACTTCATTTTGTCAAGAGTTTTTAATTCTTTTGTAAGCAATTTGGCATAAAAAAAAAACTTGGGAAATGATCATAAACTCATAAAGGCACATAATTTAAACTATATGGACAAATGATTCAAACTCAAATAACATATGAAATTATTAA